AGACAGCATTTCAGAAAAATCCAAAGCTGGGGCTGGCCCCGTGGACAAGTAGTTAAGATCGCACGCTCCACTTCAGCAGCCCAGGGTTTCACCAGTTCACATCCCGGGCACAGAAATGGCACTGCTCGTCAGGCCATGCTGAGGCGGCGTCCCACATAGCACAGCCAGAGGCACTCACAACTAGAATATACAACTATGTACTGGGGGACTTTGGGGAGAAGAAAAAGAAACCCAAAGCCAAATTACACCATATAAAGAAATTAACTCAAAATGGATCAAAGACCTAAATGTAAGAACTAAAACTGTAAATCTCTTAGAAGAAAACATAGGCATAAATTTTCACAACCTTGAATTAGGCAATGGTTTCTTAGATATGACACCAAAAGCACAAGTGATAAACAAGAAAGTTGATAAGTTGGGCTTCATCAAAATTAAAAACTTTTGTTTTGGGGCCAGCCCAGTGGCACAGCAGTTAAGTGCACATGTGGCGCTTCGGCAGCCCAGGGTTTGCCAGTTCGGATCCCAGGTATGGACATGGCACCACTTGGCAAGCCGTGCTGTGGCAGGTATCCCACATATAAAGTAGAGGAAGATGGGCATGAATGTTAGCTCAGGGCCAGGCTTCCTCAGCAAAAAGAGGAGGATTGGCAGCAGATGTTAGCTCAGGGCTAATCTTCCTGGAAAAAAAAAAAAAAACTTTTGTGTAGACAATCCACATAATGGGGGATAATTTTTGCAAATCATATGTCTGATAAGGGACTTATATCCAGAATATTCAGAGAACTATTAGAACTTGTCTTTCATCCTTAATAATCTTTTGTCTGCTTGATGTGTCAGATAATGAGGGCTATGCATGTTTGGCTTGCTTTTTATGTTTCAAGGCAATACTGTTAGGTACATGCAGAATCGAGTTTGTTTTATCATCTTGGTGGATTGTTCATTTTGTTTTATTTTTAGGTTTAATCTGTTTTTATCCTGTTAGTGTATTTTACCTTAAATTCTGCTTTATCTGATATTAATATTGATATATCAACTTTCTTTTGGTTAATATTTGCCTAATATATCTTTTTTCCATCCCTTTACTCATTTTTTGTGATTTTGCTTAGGTATGTCTCTTCCAAGGGGCATATAGCTGAATTTTCTTGTTGTTTAGATATATCTTTTTCAATCAATAAATATATTTTTAAAATTTTATATTCATTCCTATAATGTCATTTTACAATTAATAATTTTAATGTCTCCATTTATAACTACTAATGTATTTGAACTTATTTTCTACCATATTTTGTTTTTTACCTTTCTTGTTTTGTTTTTTTCCCCCTCTTTTTGCCTTCTATTTGGTTGGGAAACTTTTTTTTGCATTCTTTCTCCCTCTATTATTTTAGAGACTACAGAATTTAGTTCTATTTGTTTAGTGGTTAGCCTTAATTCTTTTTACAGGAAATTTTGAACATAAAAAAAGACAATATTGAGGCCAGCCCGGTGGGGTAGTGGTTAAGTTCACGCACTCTGCTTCGGTGGCCCAGGGTTCACAGGTTCAGATCCCAGGCGTAAACCCAGCAGCGCTCATCAAGCCACACTGTGGTGGCATCCCATATAAAGTAGAGCAAGATTGGCATAGATGTTAGCTCAGTGACAGTCTTCCTCAAGCAAAAAGAGGAAGATTGGCTACAGATGTTAGCTCCAGGCTAATCTTCCTCACACACACAGAAAAAAACAATAATGTAATGAACTCTCATGTACCTAAACCCAATTTCCACAGTTATCATTCATGGACAATCTTATTCCATATATACTCCCTCCATCCCATTTCCCTCTTCCTATGTTAATTCGAAGCCATTCCCAAACATCATGTAATTTCATCCCTAAATATTTTAGTTGTGTGTGTGTGTAGCATTTGTTACATATTTACACAAAATCATAATTACACCTCAGACAAAATTAATGGTAATCTGGTAATCATTTAATATCGTCAAATATCCAGTAGATATTCAAAATATTTTTTTTTGTCTTATGTAACTTTCCTTTTTATAGTGTGTTTGACTTATATAATAATGTGCATATGTTGCAGTTGGTTGTTATATCTCCTTTGTCTGTTTGTTGTCATTTAGGGGTATGTGTGTAAGCAAGGGTCTTAGATGATAATTTAGCTAGTTTAAAATTCTAGATTGAGGTAATTTTACTTCAGCACTTTGTCATTACTCCTTTTTCTTTTGGTCTCTGTTATTACTAGTTAAGAGTTTGTTGTCAGTTCAATTGTAGGTAGTTGTTTTTTCCCTGAGAGCCCTTAAGATATTCTCTGTATCATTGATGTTATTCAGTTTCTCTGTTATATATATAGTTATTGGTTTATTTATTCTGCTTCATTCTCAAGTCTACTTTTAATTTGAGGACTCATGTCTGTCTTCAATTATGGAAAATTATCAGTTTTATCTCTTTAAATATTGCTGCTGTTACTCCATCTTATCTCTTTTTCTTTAGCTAAGTTTTGTTAGAGTGTCTCAATCTGTCCTCCATATCTTTTAATTTTGCTTTAATGTTTTTTAATCTATTTCCACCAGTCCCTGCCATGTGCATATACCCTCAAATGTCAGTGGAATCTTGTCCATGAACTCAATCACCAAGCTCTCTTTTGTTCAATTGACAACACCAGGGAAGGCCAATTTAGCATCTAACCATTGAGAAGAGTTCAGCTTTTTATAACCTAAATGTTTATTAGTAGGGGAATGATTAGGTCACCTTTTGTGTTTCTATAAAGTAGTTATTTAGAACACTATGTAGTAGTTAAAAAGTTGTTGACCTATATTACTGACATGGAAAAATTGCTAAGATATATTACGAAAAAAGCAAATACAAACAATACATACAGAAGACATCATAGGTATATAACTTTAATTTATATACTTATTAGTCAAGTTTAGAGCCAACTATCAAGTTTAGAGGACACTAGGGTCCTCTAGAAGACTACCCTCACTTCTGATACCATCTGCAAATTTATGGGGTTTCCAAGACCACCCTCATGCTTACTAATTTTCCAGAAATGCTCACTGAATACTCAATGAAAGCTATTATACTCATGGTTATGGTTTATTACAGGGAAAGCCTACAGATCAAAATTAGCCAAAGGAAGAAACACATAGGGCAGAGTCTGGGAGGGTTCCAAATGCAAAATTTCCACTTTCCCCAGGGCACATTACCATTCTGGCATTGATGTGTGACAATACACATCAAGTATTGCCACCCAAGGGAGCTCACACAAACTTCACGTTTGAGTTTTTATTGGGGCTTTATTACTTAGGCACGATTGATTGATTGATTGATTGCCCACGATTGAACTCAGTCTCCAGATCTAACTCATAGCTCTTACCCTGCATCACATGGTTTCTGGCATGGCCATTCCCTACCCTAAGACTTGGGCAGGGCCAGCTCTACTTTAAGACCCAGTTTGGTCAGCTACACTCCTATCAGGTCACATAAGTTATCTCCCAGAAATCAACAGCAAAAGACACTCCTGTCAGGTTAGATAAATTATCTCCCAGAAGTCAAAGCCAGGCATCTCTTTAGACAAGGCCAAATTCTTTACTATTACACTTATATGCAAGGATTACAAATATATTTTAAGATTTGGAAGAACATATGTCAAACCGAGGACAATAGTTATGTCTGGAGAGGGAAGTGATATTAGTGGTAGTCAAGGGGTACTTAGTGGGTTTTGTATGTTTAAATTTTCAGTACTGTATAATTTTTAAATTATTTTTAAATGGAAAGACTGATATTAGACCAACTGGGAAAATGGGAAAATAGGTCAAATTCAATAGAATGAAACTCATTATGTCCAGATACAAAAAGGTGAGCTGTCAGGAAGAATCCTACTGTTCTGAAAAAGATGAGAATAGACCAGCTATTTCAAGATAGCATGAAATGACCATGGTCATAGTCTGGGCATGACTTTGGTATAGCTATCAGGTTTAACAGGAAACATCATCAGGAATGTACAAGTAGAATGTACACTTTGAAGAAATCATAGTTTATTTATAGTAACATCCCCATCAGTTGTTTGACCAGTTTTAGAATCCAGTATATATCCTTGGCTCTTTGAAAATAAGGTTGTATAAATATGAACATTTGTTACATCTATATTTGGGTACATGGGTGTTATTCTCTGTGCTTTTTTGTTTAATGTTTAGAATACTATTAGATCATTAAACTCCAGGGTGATTTATGACTGCCTAGGAATGTGGGGATTCATGTTATACCTTTACATGGTTCCAAGTCTAAGTGAATGACTTTCCAAGACAGAGGAGAATCATTTTTCCATCAAGTATATAGAGATATGTTTTCTCTTCTCCTAGACTGCCAATAAATATAAAAAAATGATTTAGAAGAGAGTTGCAAAAGTTATAAATGTTTGGGTTTTTTTTAGAATGGAGAAAAGCATTTTGGTGACAGTAATAGTGATTTTCGTGTATATGAAGTTTTAATCTCAAAAGAAATAACCAAGTAGTTTGGCAAGTGGGAAGTTTGGGAATCAGGGAAGCACTCATATTTGTTGAGAACCTACTATAAACTGTGCCAAGAGCTTCTTATCTGTTATCTCATTTTAATCTCTTGCCCATTTATATGACAGGCCTCATCTCCCTGTTATGGATGAGGAACCCAAGGCCCTAGGAAAAAAACAATTTGTGTGATATCACCAATAGTAGTGCTAGGAGAAAATGTTATAAAGTATAGCATACGTTATGTACATTATAAGGAGGAATGTTTATTTACTAATGATGAAAATTCTTAAGCATTGTGGTTGCTCACCTAGGAAAATTTAGCAACTTTTCTTCCTTCTCTGGAAGTATGACGCTTATTTTCATGATAATAAGAATAGGTCTGTCCAAAGACAGAGGAGATAGACCACATGAGCTTGCGAAGTTTCTTCTAAGTCTTAAGATACTATAATTTAGTATTTTTATGATTTCAAGTGTGTTCTTACTTATTTCCTTTTTCTCAAGGTGGATGATATAAAAGCAGCTGTGATGGATTTGAAGGAAAAGAAGATCCGTAGTCTAAGTGAAGAGGCCAAAATAGGAGCACATGGAAAACCAGTGATTTTTCTCCATCCTAAAGACTGTGGTGGTGTCCTTGTGGAATTGGAGCAAGCTTGATATATATTTGCAAGAAACTAATTGGGCTGAAAAAGCCTCATCAAAATGTACTTTGGCATTGAGTCCTTTACTGCTTCTATCACTTTTCAAAGCTAAAAAGTAAATTGCACAAAGAGATTTTTTAAATTATTCATATATATGTTCGTTAATTACTTTGGATTTTTTTTCCTGATTTGGAGAAAACCTTGATTACTGAATACTTGGGGAATATTATTAAAATCATATTCATAGAAATAAATTATTTCTGTTCCAAAATGAGGTAATTGAGTGTAATGTGTTGACTGTATGAAAGGATCTGTGTGTGTGTGTATGTATGAGGTGAGATAGATACACAAAGGAATTATGAAAGGACAGCTGACAGTTGCATGGCCATATGTTTGGAACAAAATGGTTTCTAAGGATGTTATGGAGAGTTTTTTAGAGCAAACTGTTTAAGGAGTTTTAACCTCAACATTTTTGCTCTTCTGGAACAACTCACGTTCACAAGTTCCTCATGGGCAGGTGCTTTGGGTGATAGTGCTAGATGTATGAATAGGAAGTTTTGTGGAAAACGTGGTGCATGATCTAGTGGGTGCATAGACAGCTGAATTATTGTTTTAATCAGTGGACATGGAGAGGGCAGTGAATTTGTAGAGTTATCTATTACTCAGGTGCCAGAACACCACCACAGGTCCTAGAGGAATATACAAAATGAATAGCAACCCATTTCCAAAAAGCTTATGGTCCAGTTGGGAAAACTTTAGTGAAATAAATGTAAATACTTACAAAACAACATGAATGAGTTGAAAATGAAAGGGAAAGGAATATAGATCTCAGAAAAGAGCTTAGAGGCATATCAGGTTTTTGGTCAGACTCCCAAATATAATAGAAACAAATGTCAGATGAATTTCAAGGATCGTGGATGGATGTATGGAATGCATAGTGTACAGGAAAATGGTTAATGTCTTAAATTCATGGATGATTGGATGTTGAGTAAATGAGTAGGTGTGTATACATTGAGCTTGTTATGGAAGATAACTATAGCATCTAGTTATACTTGTCGTTTAAAAGTTAAAAGGCAAAATTATAACATTGGTGTTCTCAAAGTATATAGAGGTAATATTTAAGACAAGTGTATCATGAGGAGGATAAAAGGACTTAAATGGTGGTTAAATATCTACATTCCACTTGAAGAGGTCAATGTTGATACTATAGACTGTGATAAACTGCATAAGTATATTGCAACCCCTAAAGTAACCACTGAAAATATTATACAAAGAGGTATACTTAAAAATGTAGATAAATCAAAATGGAATACTAAAGAAGCTCCAAATAGCCCTCTTGAAGACAGATAAGGGGGGAAAAAACAGAAAACAGTAAAATGACAGACCTACATCTGAACATCATAATTACATTAAATATAAATGGTCTAAACACACCAATTAAAAGACAGTTTGGGAGAATGGATGAAAAACATGACCTAACCATATGCTATCTGTAAGAAATTCACTTCAAATATAATGGTATTGGTAGGTAAAAGAATAAAAAATATATATACCTTGCCAACACTAATCCAAAGAAAGCTGGATTGGCTGTATTAATACCAAACAAAGTAGACTTCAGAACAAAGGAAATTGCCAGAGACAAAGAGGTACATTGCATAATGATAAAAAGGGTCAGATCACAAGAAAACATAACAATATATATATGTGCACCAAACAAGACCTGCAAAACACTTGAAGCAAGAATTGAAAGAACTGAAAGAAAAAATAGACAAATTGAGTTATAGTTGGGGACTTCAACACCTCTCTTGGTAATGTATAAAACCGCTAGACAAAAAAAGTCAACAGATATGCTGAAGAACTGAACAATACCATAAACTAACACAGAATACACATTATTCTCAATGTGTATGGAGAGTTCAACAACATAGACCATATCTTAGGTCATAAAACCAGCATTAACAAATTTGAAATAAGTAAAAACATAAAATATGCTTTGTGATCATAACTCAATCAAACTAGGAATCAATAACAAAACAGGAAAATCTCCAAAAACTTGATAAATTACACAGCACACTTCCAAATAACCCATTGGTCAAAGACGAAGTCTCAGGGAAGTAAAAACATTCAGCTGAATGAAAATACATGATCTTTTTAATGAAATTCACTTTCTGAATTTAATTTATACCTAGATAATTTAATAAAATTCTGCTTTCATAAGCAGAATAAAATTAGGTAGCAATATAAGCAAACTAGTATGTGTAGTAAATGGTGTTGATAGCCTCTTAGCATCCATTCACCATTTTCGCCCTAAAAGAAGTCTGTTAGGTATCAATGCTTGTTTCCCCCCAAAAGTACAGTCCCAAAGTTTTACTTAAATTCCATCCCCCTGCCAATGATGGGTTCGCAACATGTAATCTCTATCAGGAGAAAGAGCATGAATGATTTCCTAGAGGCTTCTGGGAATGTTCTTTCCCACTTTTAGGTGACAGCCAGGAAAAGTCAGCCTCTCTCTGTCCAGATGTGAACTAGCAAACAGATATGTTTGCCAGAAGCAACTATCCACCAACTATGAAAAAAAAAACACCCTTAGATAAGGATGACGATGGTTGACAGAGCAGAGACAAAAGAAGTGTTTTATACAGTTTTATTTTTATTTTTTTATTGAAGTATAGTGGAAATACAATATTATATTAGTTTTGGGTGTACAATATAGGTATTTGACATTTTAAAACATGAATAACAAGTTCAACTTATTGGTGGGGTTTTTAAAATTAAGAAAAAAATTTTCACTAAAAAATAAAAATAATTATCCACTACATCTACCTAATTTTTTTGAAAAGCTTGATGTGGCTTTTATGTAAAGTAAAAGCAAAATAAGCAAAATAATTACTGTACTTATATCTTTTTTTTGAGATTACATCTTTTTTTGTTGTCACTCTAACATTATATAAATTTCAGGTGTACATTGTCATATTTCGATGACTGTGTAGACTACATCATGTTCACCACCCAAAGACAAATTACCATCCATCCCCATGCACATGTGCCTGCACATGCACATTTGCCATCCTCCCTTCCCCATTCCCCTGTAGTAACCACCAATCCAATCCCTGTCTCTATGTGTTTGTTGTTGTTGTTTTCTTATATTTATGAGTGAGATCATACAGTAGTTGACTTTCTCCATCTGACTTCTCTCGCTTAGCATAATACCCTTGAGGTCCATCCGTATTGTCACAAATGGCCAGATTTCATCCTTTTTATGGCTGAGTAGTATTCCATTGTGTATATATATCACATCTTCTTTAACCATTTGTCCACTGATGGGCACCTAGGTTGCTTCTGAGTCTTGGCTATTGTGAATAATCCTGCAATGATCACAGAGGTGCATCTACCTTTACACATTTGTGTTTTCATGTTCTTTGGATAAATACTGAGCAGTGGAATAGCTGGATCATATGGTAGTTCTATTCTTAATTTTCTGAGGAATCTCCATACTGTTTTCCATAGTGGCTGCACCAGTTTGCACTCCCACCAGGAGTGTATGAGAGTTCTCTTTTCTCCACATCCTCTCCAACACTTTTTATTTCCTGTCTTGTTACTTATAGCCATTCTGATGCATGTGAGGTGATGGTGTAGTTTTGATTTGCATTTCCCTGACCATTAGGGATGTTGAACATCTTTTCATCTGCCTGTTGACCATCCACGTATCTTCTTTGGAGAAATGTCTCTTCAGATCTTTTGCCCATTTTTTAAACTGGGTTGTTAGTTTTTTGATGTTGAGGTGTACAAGTTCTTTATATATTTTGCATTTTAACCCCTTATCAGGTATATGATTTGCAAATACTTTCTCCCAATTATTAGGTTGTCTTTTCATTTTGTTGATGGTTTCCTTTGCTGTGCAGAAGCTTTTTAGTTTGATGTAGTCCCATTTGTATATTTTTTTATTGTTTCCTTCCCCGATCAGGCATGGTACTTGAAAATAGGCTGCTAAGACTGATGTCAAAGAGAGTACTGTCTATGTTTTCTTCTAGAAGTTTCATGGTTTCAGTTCTTACATTCAAGTCTTTAATCCGTTTTGAGTTAATTTTTGTGTATGGTGTAAGATACTGGTCTACATTCATTCTTTTGCATGTGGCTGTCCAGTTTTCCCAATACCATTTACTGAAGAGACTTTCCTTTCTCAATTGTATATTCCTGACTCATTTGTTTAAAATTAGCTGTGCACAGATGTGTGTGTTTATTTCTGGGCTCTCAATTCTGTTCCATTGATCTGTGTTCTGTTTTTCTGCCAGTACCACGCTGTTTTGAGTATTATAGCTTTGTAGTATATTTTGAAATCAGGGAGAGTGATACCTCCAGTTTTGTTCTTTTTTTCTCTGGATTCCTTAGGCTATTCAGGGTCTTTTATTGTTCCATATAATATATATTATAGGATTCTTTGTTCTATTTCTGTGAAAAATATTGTTGGAACTTTGATAGAGATTACATTGAATCTGTAGCTTGCTTTAGGAAGTATGGATATTTAACTTATGTTAATTATTCCAATCCAAGAGCATGGAATATCTTTCCTTTTCTTTGTGTCTTCTTCAATTTCTTTCAACAATGTTTTATACTTTTCGGTGTACAGATCTCTCACCTCTTTGGTTAAATTTATTCCTACGTATTTTATTCTTTTTGTTACAATTGTAAATGGGATTGTAGTCTTAATTTCTCTATCTGCTACTTTGTTGTTAGTGTATAGAAACGCAACTGATTTTTGTATGTTGATTTTGTATCCTGCCACTTTACTGTATTCTTTTATTACTTCTAAAAGTTTTTGGTGGATTCTTTAGGTTTTTTATATATAAAATCATGTCATCTGCAAATAGTGGCAGTTTTACTTCTTCCTTTCCAATTTGGACCCCTTTTATTTCTTTTTCTTGCCTGATTGCTCCGGCTAGGACTTCCAATACTATGTTAAATAAAAGTGGTGAAAGGGGGCATCCGTGTCTGATTTCTGTTCTTAGAGGGGTAACTTTCAGTTTTCTCTATTGAGAATGATATTAGCTGTGGGTTTGTCCTATATAGCCTTTATTATGTTGAGGTACTTTCCTTCCATACCCCCTTTTTTTAGAGATTTCATCATAAATGGATTTGGGATCTTGTCAAATGCTTTCTCTACATCTATTGAGATGATCGTGTGATTTTTATTCTTCAGTTTGTTAATGTGGTGTATCATGTTGCTTGATTTGTGTATGTTGGACCATCCCTGCATCCCTGGAGTAAA